TGTGTGGCTGGCATCGGATGAAAAAAAAGAAAAAATCAGACAACAAAAGATATAGTTATTAATATTTTCAACACTTCACCCTTTATATACACACTCCCTTCTAATAAACAACTTTCCCTGTACCAACCTTAACTTCCCTTCCTTCATATGAGCTTAATCCAACTTGTTAAACACCACAATTCATTGTTCTTTATTACTACATTCTCTTGAATGGAGCCTCTGACTTCATTTCACTCTAACAAGAGATAATATGAATTTAATCTAATTTATTATACCTTTGTCTGATCTACGTAATGTTAAGCAACGTTTGGAGTCCATATCCAAGTGCCTTGTTGCTCTGCTGTTTCTCTTTTTTATTTTCTTCAGAATCTTGCTCCGAGGGCACAGCTATGAAACTTCTAACGTCTGGAACAAACTTGACGTATGCATCAACTCAAGGCCATGGTTTATAACAAGCGTTCTACGAGACTACTTTATAACAACTATAAACTTAATAAGTTAGGAAGCATGCTATGCTCCAACTAATGTTATAATTTGTAGATCATGCCTGTAAAAATGGCGTGTACCTGCTCATGCAGAAATATATTATTATTATTATTATTATTATGTGTGGTGAAAGTCTCATTGTCTTGGCACAAATGGGTGGACCCGTAGTGATGATATGATGTTGTACGTGGAGTACCGTGGACTCCGTTTGGTAATTTACTTTTTTGATACATTCGTATTCCTTCAGAATGTTGGTGAAAAGTTTGTTTTCAGGTTTTACTATATGAATACCGCAAATCTCGTAATCAGTAGCGAGCGTACCATTCACTTGTAAACGTGTGCATTGGTCAATCAACCTCTTGTTATTCATATCCACTAATAATTTGTAGGCACTTAAGAAATCAGCTCCGAGAATGGGTCGTTTGATTTGGGCGACTATAAAGACCCAAGTGAATCTTCGCCGAAGACCTGCAGTGAAACTTTGCTGTATGTAGTGTGTCGCCGTCGTGAAAGCTCAAATGGGATTCTGCCGATTTCTGCTCCTGTATCGACCAAGAAGTCTGAGCCAGAAATATGATCCCGGATGTGGAAAAGGCGGCTAGCGTGTTGGCCAGTAGCAGTCGCTGCCATTACTGTCTGACCGGCCTGTTTCCCTGATTCTCTGTGTCCGCCGCAGAAAATGTGCACGGTCTTGTGCAACGTCGTGCTTCCATACCGTACCTCGTATGATACCAACAAATACCAACTGCCTTCTTAGGGGACCTTGAGTGATGTCTTGACACTGCTCTTTTTTAGAACTGGATCTATTAGGTCGAGAATGGATACTCGCAATAGTAGACTGTAATGATGCTAACTGAGTTGTTAACTGCGTTATTTGTGCTGGATGTTGAGTGTGGTGCTCGTATCAACGAGAGGATTCACTAGGGGACACACCATATCAATAAGTTTATTTGGAGAGTACATGATGTGAAAAAAATAGTGTTTCAAGTAAAAATATAAACGATAAAAATATAATACACTCTAGGGCTCACTAGATAATTGTGGTGGACCAGACAATATAATAACCCAAAAGATAATAGCAAAGTTATTAATAACAAATAATAATAATATATATATGTCAAATGTTATAAACACAATAGAAATAAGGAACGATACTTAGTTCATCAAGAGAGTGCGTGTTCCAAATTGATCTGGTAAATATCCAAAATTATAGATGGTTAATAATTGCAGTAAGTTTGATGGATTCCTCAATGATATGATCCAGCAGTATATAAGATATATTCCAATTACAGTCTGTAAAGGTAAATGATATTTGATTCAGACTTCGGTTAACACAAATGCGAGTGAATGTAGAACGAGAGGTATGTGCGTAGTAGTGTATTTGGTAACAACCACAATAGTGTCACGCTACGTTAGAATCACAACGGAAAAAGTGTTCAAGGTAATACACTTAAACAACAGGTACAATCATTTAATGATAAATGCACATGCAGTGGGAAATTAACAGAATAAGTACAAATAACATTAAAAACTATTTACAAAATAAACTTGTCAGGCATATCTCCACAACATGACCAAAAAATATCAACTTACCAAATTTCCTTGGTAAGGTACTTTTTTCGTCAGAAATGTTTTAGTCCATTGTGCAGTAAGGTCCAAAGTTCATCTGTAACATTCGACCTTGAGGTCACAAATTGTGTGGGTAAAACCAGGAAGCGGGAAATTTGTATTCCTGGATTTAGCCGTATGTATGAATGTAAGACAATATGAAAGGGACGACGTGTTATTTTGGATTATTGACTGATTAGTTAGTTAGATCAATGCACTTGGTTGGGAATTTGCAGTTAGTTAAAAGCTAATTGATCTGGGAATATACATACATCATCGGGATATTTAGTCCAACAGCAATTCCATCCAGGCTGGCTGCAGACCTGGTCGTGGGTGCATCGACCACATATTCACCATTCGCCAGGTTCCCGAACACAGGCATTCTTTTTGGCGTCCGACAATAGTGGTCTTTCTTGACCTAAGAGCAGCGTTTGATCCTGTAGACCGAGAGGTTCTGTGGCAGTGTCTGTCATTGAAAGGCGTACCTCAGAAGTACATAAGCCTTGTGAAGGCTCTTTACTCGAACACTACTAGTCGAGTCAAAGCTTATGGCGAACTGTCATCTGCTTTTGAAACCTCAAGTGGTGTCCTTAAGGCTGTCCACTTTCTCCATATTGGTTTAACTTCATCGTAGACATGCTTATGGAAGTAACGCTCTTGTATTGAGCTCTTTTCAGGAGGTCTACTTATCGACTTAGAATACGCAGATGACACAGTCCTGTTTGGTGAAGATGCTGATAAAATGCAGTCTTTTGGTAGCATTGAGCAACAATGCCAGGATGTTTGGGATGCGCTTCTCCCCCTCTAAATGCAAGTCGTTGCTTCAGGATTGGTGTGCCTCAACACCTGAACTAAGAATAGGGAGTAAAGCAGTCGAACTTCACTTATCTTGGAAGTCTGATTAACCCTAAAGGGTTGGTGTCTGACTAAATCTCTGCACGAATTCGAAAAGCTCGTTTGACTTTTACCAACTTACATCACCTACGGCGAAGGTGAGATATCCGTCTATCAACTAATGGACGAATATACTGCGCGGCAGTTCGTTCTGTTCTGCTTTACGGCTGCGAAACGTGGCCATTAAGAGTAGAAGATACTCGTAAGCTACTAATATTTGACCACAGATGTCTTAGAATTATTCCTCGCATCTGCTGGGATTACCATGTAAGTAATAGTGAGGTTAGACGCAGAGTATTTGGGAATGATGGTAAATCAGTTGGTGAGGTTGTGAATCTTCATCGACTGAGATGGTTTGACCACGTATTGCGTATGCCTGAACAACGATTACCACGACGCGCAATGCTCACTGGTGTTGGGGATGGTTGGAGGAAAGTTAGAGGCGGCCAAACCAAAACGTGGCATCAGTTATTGAAGTCACTAACTTCCAGTCTGAGTCTTGTTGGTAGATGCAGACTACTTGGTTGGGGTCCGCGTGACTATCGTAACTAATGATTGTAGACTGTGTGTGACAGGGCTCAGAATCGATCACAATGTGTAGGTGTATACACTCTCTATCTTCCTTTAAACTATGAGATCAAAATCGCTTTATATCTGTCTTTTTACCAACTAATTCTTTCTTTCTGTACTATATCCTTATATGCAATCTTTCCTTTATATATCACACCATTGAGTTGATCGCTTCTATGAATTTGGTGTTCATCTTGTTGTGCTAATGAGGTGTGGTAACTTGGACCGATGCACATATGTGCCTGGTCCTACTTTGTAACTAACTGACTGACATAGCAAAGCTCAATAGATATGACCTAGTTTTAGTCTGTTAAAAGAAACTTAGTTTAAGCCTTGCGAGTTTCTTTGAAATTAGATTATAGACAAATATTAAGGAATTGTAATTATGCCTACAGTGTACACGAGTGTTTGAGTTGTGTACAAAAGTACAAAGTATTCAAGAGTTCATTTTACTAACGTTAGTTCTCAAGCAGCTGTTTCTCAGGGTTATTTTCCGTATACATGAGTGACATTATGAATATTGGATGGAACTCATACTTAATAGACTTCTCTGTAGCATATTAACGGGTTTATTATTCTACCAGGTGGGTATTAAAGTCAGTCAAGCTGACTAGAATTTATGGAAATACGGAACTGGTTCAAAAGAACATGTTGTCTTAATGTATTCTGACCAAAATTTTATTATCCAGTATAGCGGATGTAAGGAAATGGTACAAAAATTTAAGCACTTTAGTCACTTGAATGTACGAAGAGTTAAGGGCTATTAACAGATCCACCACACTGAATTTTACAGTTGATGAGAATGGGAGTAAAGTTAACGGATTTTGATAGTGATAAATCTCGAGTGGTTGGAGCCTTACTGTCTGTCATCAAACGTTCATCGTCTTTGTTTTCAACAAAAACTGGTTTTAAACTATCATCGGAAATGATCCCTTACCGTTTTTGTCAACATTATAATTATTTAGCAACATCAGTTACCGAAAGTGGTTTCAATTTACAGGAGCGGTCTAGGAGTATAACCAAGCTTTAAAGGTTACTGTTACCTACAATGACGGTGCCTTCTAGTTGTTCAATATTTGATTCTTCAAGGGTTTTGGGGTTGATCCTTGTATTATATAGACACTTAATTTTTGTTTTACTTGTTCAGTCTGTTTCATATAGCTACAACTCTCAGTACTATGCTTGAGGACAGATATTTCTAAATTTCGTTACAATGGATTTTTTTATTGGTCATACATTATCTAAAACACGGATATTATCTGCGTGTTGTTTAATCATCATTTCGATTTCGACCATATACAGTAATATATTAGACAAATGCAGCATTTCTCAAAGTCGTTTAGCACGTTCCATCCTAAATGAGGTAAGTCATTGAGTTTCGAAATATTCATTTAATTGCAGAAAAGATTGTTTTCCCACTGTTTAAATATACAGGTGTTGCTATGAATGAACTATGCCCTTTTCATCCTAAACATGATATTTATGCTATTCATGAACAAATGAAAAATAAAATTTCTGATTATGATTGGGAATGTCAAATGTGTGGTAAACGATTCTACACAGAAAATACATTTGATTTACATATTGGCAATAGACATGAAACAAATGCTTATAGTATCAGTCGTACAATTTGTTTATCGTCCTATTGTTCGTTACTTCGTTGTTCTGTACTAAAACCAGATATTGATTATGGTTATCAAGTGTTTTGGGATGAAGCATTATGTGATCCAAAGTCGTTTGAAGCTATTTCAAAGCAATGTGAGGTAGGTATTTTTTTTTACACAAGTATCTAGTTAGGAACTCATATACACTATAATTTGAGTAGGACTTGCTTGAATGCTAATACTACCACTACCCATCTGCTGAGACCGAGATAGAGCGGCCTCCGGCAAACCTTTAGTCGAGTGGTGTAGATTTGAAAGCGTGCACAGTTAAACCACTTTCCCTCCACTTGTTTATTACATTTAATCGAGTAGTAGTATTTAAGGCGGAACACAGTAACGTTTTAAGAAACTGATGCATACTTGATTAGTCACTGACTGAAATTGAGATATTTACAAACAGTTGGCCTTAACTAATTATGTGTTGGTGTTTACAAAGTCAGTTACTCTACCTGGCAACAAACAATAGCCTCATTACCAAGTTTTACTTTCCAGAAAACGAAATACCACTGCTGGTGAATATAAAATATGTCGCTATACATATTTCTTTCATTCCAACTTAGGATTATTTGTGGCGTATGGTAGATGTTTGTTTTCAACTGAAGGACAAGTTTACTGCAGAACAGTTGGTTCTGTTATACTTTATGATTCAAATGTAATCTTTAAAATAAGGGATATTCATGGCTTACTCGTATTTAGTCATAAAATTATCTAAGCATTACTAGCGTATGTTGGCCCCACCGAGTAAGCGATGTTGAATTCGGACACAGAGTACTTGATAAAGATGACAAACCGGTTGGTGACGTAGTGAATTCATTGCAATCTAACCCCTTTTGATGTATATTACGTATCCCCAACCACCGTTTTCGCGACCGTCCCAATAAATGGTTGAAGACGTTAACTGGCGTAGTTCAGAATCAGTCACAACGGTACGGAGACATTCACTCTTTGTCTTCCTTTCAATCTTTACCTTTAGGATTATCTTATACTTTTTATTCAGCGAATTCGTTCTCCTAGAATTATGTTGTCTATACCTAAACTTTCCTTTCTACCCCTAATACTATTACTGTTTTTATCATTCTAATATCTATCTCGCCTTCCTGATACAGTGTGACAAATTGAGTCAATACACGTAATTGTTAGGTTTTACTTTTTTGATAACTCACCATTACATTTAAACATGTTAACCTTGAAAAATTGGTTAGAATAATAGTATGGGAGCATGGGGATCTTGAATTATTGGGTTGCTATGTAATTAAGTGACTGAGTCGGATTTATTGATATTTAAAAGAGGAATATGCTATTGGTTTATCTCAGGAAATTTCCCATAGACACGAACAAATTCAGGTCAAGACAACTAATGTAGCAGCAGCCACTGCATCAGTAAACCTCAACATACACAAGGGAAAAAGCAAGATCCCCAAATACAACACGGAGAAAACCAGTCAGTCAGTAACATCGTAGAACTTCGTACGTACGTACATCAGTTCAAGTTGCCATACCACATTAGCACAGAGATACAACTTTCGATTCAAATCCCGTCGTGGTAGAGGCAGTAAAATTATAAGTAGTAATCGGAAAGATTAGGGTTTGAAAATGTTATTCAACAGTATAATCCAGTGAAATAAATTTGGTAAGAGGAAAAAACGAGACATGGAGAATTCAGAAGATTAGAATTTGGGAGAACACGAAGAACACCAACCCAATCATATGTGATGGAGAAGCTCTAGAAGATGTAGAATCCTTCAAGTACCTAGGAACCATCATCGATGAACAAGGATGATCGGATACAGACGTAAACGCAAGAATTGGCAAAGCAAGGACAGCATTCCCACAGTTGAAGAACATATGGAACTCAAAACAACCGTCAACTAATACCAAAGTGAGAATCTTCAATACGAACATCAAGACAGTTTTACTGCACGAAGTTGAGACTTAGAGAACTACCACAATCATCATCAAAAAGGTACAAGTAATTCTAAACAATTGTATACGCAAGATACTCAATGTCCGTTGGCCGGAAACCATCAGAAACACCCTACTGTGGGAGAGAGCAAACCAGCTTCCAGCTGAAGAGAAAAATAGGGAAAGACTTTGAAAGTTGATAGGACATACATCGCGGAAATCACCAAACTGCATCATGAGGTAAACGCTAACTTGGAATCCCGAAAGGAGAAGGAAAAGAGGAATGCCGTAGAACACACTACGTCGGCACTTGGAAGCAGACATGAAAATAATGAACAGTAACGGGAAAGGATTGCCCAGGACAGAGTTGGATGTATAGTGCTGGTGGGCAGCTTATGCTCCTCCATGAGCAGCGTAGGCAAGATATCCATCTACCAACCAAAGGACGGGTTTACTGCGTTACGTATGCCCAAACACCAACTGTCCCGGCTTGCGATGTTTTATGATGTAGGAGTAGGTTGGAAGAAAGGTAGGGGCAACCAGACCAAAACATGGTACAAATCCATGTAGTCACTGACAAGTGGACTGAGTCATGTTAGTAGGTGTAGACTACCTGATTGGAATCCGCGAGACGACAGCAACCGATGGTTAGAGACCTTGAATGACATGGTTTAAAATCGTTTTCAATGGCGCATGTGCATCCAGTCTTTGTGTTCTCCCAAATTCTAATCTTCTGAATTCTTCATGTCTCGTTTTTCCTCTTTCCAAATTTATTTCACTGGATTGTACTCCTTGAATAACATCTTCAAACCCTAATCTTTCTGAGTGCTGCTATTACTTTTACTGCCTCTACCACTACGGGATTTGAATCGACAGTTGTATCTCTGTGCTAATGTGGTATGGCAACTTGAACTGATGTACGTACGTACGAAGTTCTACGTTGTTTCTGACTGATGAGGAGTAACAGACGTAAGTAAGTAACAGACATGATTTGGATTAAGAGAGCTTCATAAAGTTATTCAATCATATACGGGTTATATTACCAAAGCAAAAAATAACTGACAATAGATTTCTATTAAAAACGTACATCAAATAGCAGACACTTTATTCGCGGGAAGCATTGTAGCTAAATATATGGATAGTCAGTGTTACGGCATTGTTCCGATAACGCAAATATGATAGTTTATATTATGACTGTTAAAATATATTATTTTTGAGGTGAAAGAACACAAAACTTGTCTGATCAATACACACTTCTTCATAGAAGCAAGTAAACTGGTAAATATAACTCATGACGGGTCAAGACAATGTATTTTCTTCTAAACTTCATCCAAAAGTGTCTGTTAAGAAACGTAATTATTAAGCTTATGATATGAAACATTGGATGGATATTGAAAAAAATTATTTTAGTGGATTTCAGAATTTCAAATATTTTTGGGGGATGCTTTTAATGACAACAATGAACCTTTTGTGTTGAGTTTTCAATTCGTATTGTCGATAAATTCAAGTTTTCTTTAGATGGAATTGTAGTGAGCAGAACATCAATGGGGACAATCGAATGTACTTGACACTAAATTAAAGGACTTGTTAATAAAATCTAACAATCATAAAGTAAATGCTCAATTTGCAAAACGTCCATCAATTGTCTCGAAATGACTCAGACTTTATTGTTCTTACATTTTCATACAAATTGCATTCTGTTTTCATTCTTTACTGTTCGATTCTCTTGTCTCTCTGCTACCAGACATTCCGTTCCTGACTAACATCATATACTATGTCGATATAAGTAACACACACCACAGAATCACTAAACAGTCTTGTTATCAATGTTTTCTGTTCTTTTATTCATATTTTTTATTTTTGTATAAACTAGGATATCTTGAATAAATGTACACCATCGGGAAATGACAGTAGTAGTACACAAATACGTCGTAAGTTATAAATTCAATTTTCTTTTCTTTAAACAAACACTATTACTTATGTCCATTTAGTTTTGTAAATTTCTTGATGTGAAAAGCGAATCTCATAATGCTATCGATATTGTAAGCTGATCCAAGTTAGATCATAGATTAAGAACCATTAGGTAAGTTTGCAAATCTAGTGAGAAGTCATGATCATTGTATTTTTAACGTGTTCCCATATTAGGATGAAATAACTGTCCAGTGTTTCATGTTTTTCAAAGGATGTCCAACTTTCAGTGATCTCCCTAAACTTACTTACGCCTGTTACTTTTCATGAAGGAGCCTAGTCTGCTCACTAGCATTCTCTGTCCAACCCTGTCCTGGGCAATCCTTTCCAACTCTTTCCAGTTGTTATTCATCCTTTTCATATCTGATTCTATTTCCCGACGTAATGTGTTCTTTGGGCTTCCTCTTTTCCGCTTCCCTTCAGGATTCCAAGTTAAGTCTTGCATCGTGATGCAGTTCGATGATTTGCGTAATGTGTCCTAACTATTTCCATTGTCTTTTCCTAATTTCATGTCATGACGTCATAGATTCTAGAGAACATTCATTTACTTTCGTTGGTGAATGTTTTTTTTAATTAACTAACTTGTAGGCAATGAAAGAGATTTACATTTTCAGATGGATGCTTTTAAGTGTTGTATTCTATGAATTAAATGGTTCGATTTCGGAGCTCTTATTATTGTGCCTACATCGTGTAGAATCAAATCTTTCAGTTATTCCATAAGTGTTATATCAGTTCGTTACAATGGCTTTTTTTGTGATTGGCTATCTTCGTAAGTTTCACCACCTTCTGACTACCACTTGACCTCTTTCATATTGATTGATAAATCAAATCTATGATTTGAATGCCATGTCTCGACAGATTTACTGGCATTGTTAAAGTTTCCCTCATCCACAATTCCAACATTTCTCCAATAGGATTCCTATCTGTGTTTTTTTACATGTATTGATATCAATGATCACGTATCATATCATCATATTGTTAATCTATGTTCATGTATGTGCATAGGAGAAGACGGGGGGAGGTCCATTTTCATTCAATAAGATTTGGGGGGGGGTTGGTACAACTCCTCAAATAAAACATTCAGAGATAAAAAAATCACTAGATTACTAAATTTTATTGATGCAAAATGCAATTCATTGTTAGATCGCCAAACCACATTACGTTCTCCTTGATATCACCAGTTTTTCTTTTGAATTGTATATAGTGGGGAATTTTTTGTGATAGCCTGATTATACTAGATCACTCTATAACTGTGTAGGTTATACTCATGACCCACAAATTATCCCATTAATGGGTGACTGGTTTACTGTTTAACTGTATCGTCCTCCATGACCCGTGACAACTGAAGTCCGCAAGGAACTCCAACTCTTGAAGTGCCACAAATCACCATGCCCAGATAATTCACCTCCAACCCTTTTTAAAGATGATAGTGACTTTCTTGTTGAGGAACTGTCTGAGTTGTTTACAAAGGTTTGGGAGCTAGAGAGTGTACCAACGTCATGGAATGAGTCGATAATTGTCCCTATCTTTAAAAAGTGTTCACGTATTCTCTGTAACAACTATCGGGGGATAAGTCTACTTCCGATTGCGTCCAAACTGTTGGCTTCCGTCATACTTCGTAGATTGCTCAAAACCCGAGAAAAATTGACTCGCGAAGAGCAGGTTGATTTTCGTTCTGGTCGAGGATGTATTGATCATGTCTTCACCCTCCGTCAAATGTTAGAACACCGTCATACATATCACAGGCAAACAATCGTAGTGTTTCTTAACATAAGGGCTGCTTTCGATTAGTCGGACAGGACTGTTGTCTGGGATTGTGTATTGAAGAAGGATGTGCCTGAAAAGTTTAATAACATCTTATAAACCCTATATACAAACACCTCAGGCAGAGTGGTGGCTTACAACCACCTTTCTCCATTGTTCCATTCAAGCAATGGAGTTAGGCAGGGTTGCCCAATCTCAACATTCCTCTTCAACTGCCATCGATGACGTTCTGGAAACAGCTCTGATGGATGTAAGTGATGGCAGTGTGGATCTGTTGCCTGAAGAAAGACTTCTCGACCATGAGTATGCGGTTGATATTGTCTTACTGTGCGACAATGCCCAAGCTATGCAATCCGCACTTAATCAGTTGGTAATTAGTGTTCGTGGATATGGTATGTGCTTTTCACTTTCGAAGTTCAAAGTACTTATACAAGACTGACAGGACTCTGATCCTGCCCTCACCCTGGGTAGCGAGCAGATAGAATTGGTCGAAAAAATTATGTATTTGGGTAACTGCATAAGTGCTGGTGGTGGTGCGAGTGATGAGATCAATTAACGTATAGTGAAAGCCAGATGTTAGACGACTCTCTGTGTTTAGTCATCGTTGTCTTCAAAGGATTGCTGACATCCAGTGGCAAAACCATGTTAGTAATGCAGAGGTTGGGCACAGCGACAATAATGCACTTAGTGTTAAAATCTTGAGACATCGACTTCAGTGGTTGGATATTTCTTACGTATGTCATCTTAGAGAATTTCACGTCGTGTATTATTTGCTCGCGGTGGGACTGGTTGGAAAAAGAGGAGAGGTGGTGAGTGTATGACATGGCGCTATGGTATGAAAAAAAGCAGTACAGGATTGTCTTTATTGGTTCTTCACGACCCCCTGGTTGGGCTCCTAGAAATGGTGCAACATAGTCGCTCGAGACGTTATCAGATATGGCTCAGAATAGAAGTTAGTGGTGATCGTGATGTAACTTTCTTTCACTTCCTTCATATAAAGTGGACGTAAATTTAACTGGGAGAATTCTCTCTGGTTGTGAATTCGCTAACTGCACTACCTCTCTCGTTATTATTATTATTTCACTATCATGAACTAATTTCTGTTCGTTATTGTACTCCTTTTTCTTATACTGTGATATTGGTACATAAACTTCCTATGTGCAAACCGCGAACCAGATACTGAGTGAGGAGACTAGTAGTGGAAGTGTTGGGGAGACCCAGAAAATTCCTCGAAAAAAGCCCTAAAAACGCTTGGAAACATCCTATGCAATCAGCATTCAATAGACGTTTCTAAGAAACATCTAGAAAGTGAAAAATCAGGTGTCGCATTTCCTACGACAATGTTTAGAAGGGTTCTAGAACTTCTCAGAAGCCCAAGGCCATCTGAAATGTTATAAATACCCTAGATTTTCTGTACATAAAATAACCTCGGAGTAAATCGCTCTTAACATATTTCACACCTTTTCTCGCGTGTTCAAGTTACCGTGTAGATTTAATCTAGAAGTTGTTAGAAGAGCTTAGCGAACTGATTCAAGCGTTCAACTAGAAGATTTCTCAGAAAGAAAAACGTTTATTGGGCTAAATCAAATCACATATATATACTCCTTAGAAAATGAAACTACTTCTCAGGCAATTGATTGGCACAACATAACTTCATTTAGTGAGTTTTAATTGACCCACTCTACCAATCATCTTTGTCAGTAACTTTTACTATCACTGACACTATTAATATATCTTACCGTTATGATATATTATGACAACTTAGACCAATTCACACATTGTGTTATTTGATTTAATGAATACTTTTCTCATTATTTTTATCACCATGTTTTTAATATCGTATATCATGGAAAATGATTATAATTGCATGGTTTTCTAAAAACAATTATAATTACCAATTGTAGAACTACTTCAAACTACATTATGTGATCAGTTATCTTGTGATCGGTATTGGATTTTACCAGATTCCCATGTAAGTTTTAACTGTGATAGGTGTTACTTGGTTGTTAATTCAGTTTGAAATGGTTTAGATTATCCCATTGTTGATATTTTTGACTGATATTTTGTTATTATTAGCTGGGATATGGGCATCCTATTGGGATTGCATCGATACAGCCATTATATGAAGTGTGACTAGCATTAGAATCCAATACGCACGTTTTTTTCTGTTTGAGAATCATTTTTGGCTGAATGTTCGTGCATCCCAGGGTTGATGTCTACATAGTACATTTCATTTTAAATGCCAGTGCATTTGAATCCCGAAATGGACATCAACTCTGAGACCCAGGTACATTCAATTAAAGCCAAGTCTCAAATACGATGAAATGCTCGTCCTGAATTCCACTGTAATCCATATTCCGTCTGTTCTATATCGAATTAGTTATTGTTGATATTTTTGTTTCTTTATGGAAAATTAATTTCGACTTTTACTATTCATGGTTCCTTTATATATTACCCCTTGTGGAGGAGCACAGGTTGCCCCCTAGCATTCTCCATCGACCTCTGTCCTGGGAAATCTTTTCCAGTTATCCGTAATGTATGTCATACCCACCTCTAGCGTGTTTCTTAATTTCCTCTTTAGTTGGTAGTTGGTTTGTTCTCTTTCACAGTAGGTTAAGCTGGTGATATTTGGCCAACGGATATTATTTATTTGTTTAAACACATAAACATTGGTACAGTAGTGTCGGTTACTATGTTAAACCCATATAACTTATTCTAGCTTCTGGACAAGTCAATTTATCCATTCTTCTTCAGTCGTGTTTTGACCTTGTTAATTATTCACTTATCAACCTCAACTGTTTTTATATGAGCGCATATGTGTATACACTTCTTATTCTATTCATCACATGTCTGTAACTCATTTTTATCTGACTATAAATATTGATTGACGCTTGGTTGAATGGAGTTGGTTCACATGCCTTCTCCGCTGTGTGTCATTTCGTTTCACTCTCTTCTATTCGCTTCGTCCCTGTGATTGTCTGCCCATATCAATGATTGTACAATAATTATATACGATAATAGGCGATATATATGTTTCGATAGCAATCAACATATGATCTCATTGGAGTCAGATCCCGGGCCAATAAAATATAAAGAGGCACCAACTACATATGCGTCTGATCCACAAGGCAGGGAAGCAACATCAAGATATGAAGTCCCATGGTAGCCGGTGACTAACGATAAGTTTATGCGCCTTTTGTTCCCTCAGGATCCTGGAGCCAATATGCACCATTAGTTTGGAATCAGGGTTTCCCAGCTCCTCTAGGTGGACCCTTCGTGTCCACCAACCCGGATAAAGCACCGGACATTCGCATTTCGTTCTCTCAATTTCGTAAAAAAAACAACAATGCCTCGAGAAGACAGTAAGTAGGATTTCCGTGGCAGTGGCTGTATACGCGTGGCCATGTAAGAACATTTCGAAAGGGAGAGCGGACTCCCCACCCTCGTCCGTCCCAGGCAATTCGGTGGCTGATACTAAGAATCTTGCGTAGACAATTGCTTATAAATAGTTGTATGTTTTGGTGGTGGCTGTAATAGTTCTCTAAGTTTCAGCTCCGTAAAATAGAACTGTCTTGACGTTTGTATTGAATATTCTGACTTTGATATTGGTTGAGAGACAGTTGTTTTGAGTTTCATATGTTCTTCAGTTGTAGGAATGCTGTCCTTGCTTTGCCAATCCTTGCCTTTTCATCTGCACCAGATCCTCCTTGTTTATCGAATATGCAGCCCAGATATGTGAAACTTTTAATTGAGATCATGAAATAATCAACGTTAGACCACCATTAAAAACCTGGAAGCACTAGACTGCCGCTTCGTCCTAGTAAGGGGCCACTCAGCAGTGCGCATCCACGATCTTGCCCGACCACCTTACATTGTCTTCCGTGGCTAACTGCCTCACACCTCACATGGATTACATCCACTGGTCACAGGTTCTCATCACAACTCCGAGATTCACCTTTCCAAGTTAGTCACTGGTCAGCCAGCACATCATAATAATGATCAGTATATGGTTGTTGAGATTGTTGACTATTTTCGTCATTCAGATCATCAACCGATCAACGTGATGCCTGGTGGTGATAGATTACATGCTAGCTGTATCGAAATTCACTGCGCACAAACCTGAGTAGTGTGATGAAAATGGGGGTTTTGTTGGCAGAGGAGGTCGAGACCCAGCACGAATACCCAACCTCTAGACCACTAAGACGTCATCCGACGCTGTTAAGTCTCACTTTAACCAATCTACAATATTCTACAATCTCCTTACATTATCTTCGTTCGTTAAATGCCTCACGCCCGACACGGTTAAACTCCACTGGTCGCGGTTTCTCTCTATAACTCTGAGAATTATCTCTGGAAGCTGGTCACTAGTGAGTATATGATAATTATAAGTATAGGGTTGTGGAGATTGTTGACTTTTAATTGAGATCATGAATCGATCAGTGTTAGACCACCATCGAAAACCTGGAAGCACTGGATGGTTGTTTCGTCAGTTCATTTAATTGGGATTTTATGCTCATTACTTAATAATGTACTTGTTCTGTACTCTTTTTTTCATATCAAAGATTCAAACTTCTGCATTGGAAAAAGTACTCACTGCATTCATCGTAACAGCCGGTTTATTGACTTATTATTCTGTAATATTTATGAGATTAAGGTAAGCTCTCAAAGTGTGGTAAATAGTAATAAGTATGGATATTTCTTTACTACTTCACATTAAAATTGTTTTTTTTTTTTGTTGGTAGTACATTGTGTGTGCTGTGCGTGTTTCATAGTTAAGTATCGAATTTGATCATTTTGTTCAGGAATTTTGAGTTTATATCTTAGTTGACTCTAGTGGTTCGCAACCATGACCACGGCTAAATCTGAGTCCAAGATCTTCAGGTTTCTCGGGGTACGCTTTGTTCATAGACTGCTGAAGCAGCATCCATTAGTTTACATTCACATCTGTATTATATCTTAGGTCGTCCGTAGTGTGATTGTCACCTAACTTCTAAGCTGGTCACTGTTACTCGTCTGATTAAGTGGAGCATGATGCCGTTTCTCCGTTAGTTCACCGGTTCGATCTCTGTTTGGCATTTCAGTTTGCGCAGACGGAAATTGTCAGTTTAGTCCTCACATATAAGGTATTACTCAAAACCAAATATATGAATCATCTATACTTGGAAAATGGGTCATCCGGTTAAGAAGAGATGATTAAGGTTCCAACTACCTATCTTAGCTGGTGATGTTTTGCACCGAATTTCTTCCAGTTTGTCTTCTATACTTAGTGCTTTACGAACTGGCTTCATTTTTATTCACTAAAGGTGGTCATTGTAGATGCGAGTACTGCTTCGAAGAAACTTGGAAATTCTTGGCGAAATTTAAACCTAACAGTAGGATAATAAATGCAAAATGACTTTTGAACGGTATCCATTCAGATGGGTGACTATCAAAAGGAAGAGTGGAAAAAGGCGTATATTAATGAGGGCAACCTCCAAAAAAAGCGCATGTTAATAAAGATGAGCATTAAAAGAGGGAATAACATTTTTAATGATTTGAAATATGCTTGATTTATCCTCTATCTCGTCGCTGTATACGATCAATCCAAAACGTCGTTTCCTAGATGTCTAATGAATAGTCTACTTTCATAATATACTGTGATTGCTCAGATTTGGTAAAGATTTGTTATTCTTATTACTTATTACCTTTATCCAGAACATAATTGTGTTCTATTGGGTGTTTTGTAATAAATTCACATATCGTATAACAGCGTGACCTACACTTCCCCGTACGATTTTCCATACATCTCTAAATATTCTTATTGCAAATTTCTATTTTCTGGTTGTATAATCATTCACTATTAAAAAGTCTGCATTCTTATTGCTCTCCATGTATTGCAAAGCCATTTAAATGAGGTGTAGAATATGTAATTCGTTAACTTTACACATACATAGTTTCAATTATTGGGATCATGAGTCGATTGGAGTTAGGCCACCACGGAAAACCTGTAAGCACTGGACGACCGTCTCGTGCTATTGTGGGACTCCTCAGCAATGCGCATTCACGATCCCACTCAAGGGGATCGATCCCAGAGCTTTCATTCTCGCACGCGATTGGTTGAGGTTAGATATTAACACTGTTGAATGCCGGCTCAGTGGTCTAGATTTTAGGTGTTCACGCGCAAGACCAGTAGTTTCTGGGTTTGAATCTCGCGAGCGGGATCGTGCATGAGCACTACTGAGTAGTCCCATAGCCGTCTAGTGCTTCCAGGTTTTTCATGATAGTCTAACATCAATCGGTTCACGATCTAAATCAAAAATGTTATTCCCTCTTTCAGTGTTTATCTTTATTAACATACGCCTTTTTGATGGTTGCCCTTTTGCTGACGCCCTTATTATTGTGAATCCCTCTGAATATATAGGCATTTGTACGTATATTTTTTCATTTGAAAAGACCAAATGTTCATTCAGTAAAAGCTAGGACTTTATCAATTCCAACTGCTCTATACACAAATGTATTCACTAGAGATGGTCATTGTAGATGCAAGTACTGCTTCAAAGAAACCTGAAAATTCTTGGCGAAATTTGGACCTAACAGTAGAGATTTGAAATAACTGATTAGTTCTGCTAACATGCACTTTGGATCTAAGATAACTAAAGTGACCGCTTATCTGTTAGTTAAATCATTTAAAATTTCTATCAACAGATCCTTGTCACGGTTTGAGCAATCAGTTGATGTATCTCGTAAAATTCATATATGTTCATATAGTAGTTTAGCATGGATAAGTAAAAAAAAACTCGATAATATTCTCTGATCTGGATATTACCCAATAAGAAGATTTATTGATTATTATTTATTTTAACACATAGATATTGTTACAAAGAGGTACCAAATACATATGGGCCACACAGATCTCATTTGATATGTGTGAGGGCTGTGATACTGCCCAGGTGCCCAAATCGAAGCAGGTGGTTTTATTAGAGAGCCACACCCCGAGCATTCGACCTAAAGGGTCTGATCCACAATTCAGTGGAGCATCGTAAGGAGATGCAGTCCTATGGTAGCCGGTGACCAATAAGAAAAACGAATGCATGAATGATGATTACGCAAGATGTTTACGTAAAATACGGTATATTTTGGTTTTTCGCTACTTCATTGTCCTCATCATTTACTAAAAAGCATATTATTTATGAACTTCTTTCTACCATTTTTTTGTAGTTCATCGTTTTGTCGTTTACGTATTTCTAGTCTATCTATTCCACGAATCAGTAAAAAAGCATTTCGATCCTATTACTGACAAAAAAGATAGAATAAGATGTGGTCATGAATCTCTACACTAAATGACTGACTTCATTAATTAAGAAAATGTTGTATATTTTATAAAATGAATCCCATCTTTATTTTTATTATAACGATTTGTATTTCTTCGTTGTTGGTAATTTATGATTTAATTTTCATTGAATTAGAATCTTGATAAATCATGGTTAATGTGTTACAATGTTTTAACTTGTAAATACAATTGATTATAAGTTTTAATGTGAACACACATCAACACAACCTGGATGCAAGAAAATGTAACCAAGGAGTTTCGCATAAAAGTGTATACTTATTACTTGTATCCGACTATTAGTCGTTTATTAGTTTACAATAGACATATTCATATTTCAATAGTTGTAATCATGAATCGATTGAAGCTAGACCCGCGGGGAGAGGGATCGTGGATGCGTACTGCTGAGGAGTCCCATACTAGGACGAAACGGCCGTCCAGTGCTTTCAGGTTTTCCATGGTGGTCTAGGTTCAATTGATTCATGATTTCAACTATTGAAATTACCAATTCTCGACAAAACCCCTTCTAGTAATATTCATATTTGTACTTTCTAGATAACAGGGTTTTTAACTTTTATCATCAACTACATATACTACTGTACTTCCTTCATTTGTTATGCTTTAAGTGGCCTGGGATCTGACTTCAAATAGATCATATACAAAATATATACATCTTGACTATTCTTGTATATTATTATCGATTTAATTCGCATTAATGAATATAACGGAATTAAATGAGTACAACGACGGATTTTGATTATGTATATTTTATGCACTCAGTGATTTGAACAAGCAATAGGGGAGACGAAACAAACAAGAGAATGAAGTGAAATGACGTACAATGAAAAGGCCATGTGAGCCAACACCATTCAATCAATATTTATAGCCAGGTAAAATAGGGTACAGATATGTGATAAATAGAATAAGAAGTGTATACACACATACGCGTTCATATAAAAACAGTTGAGGTTGATAAGTGAATAATTTACAAGGTCAAGATGTGACTCAAGAATAACGGATAAATTCACCTGTCCAGAAGCTAGAATAAGGTAAATGTGCTTAGCATAGTAAGTGACACTACAATGTATCTAATTTATCCAACTGGGTTTTCTCCGGTAAAAATCACATGGATGTATATACAGGATTTATTTTCTTTGAACTAGAGCAGTTTATTCTATAGGATTCTATTGTAATGAGACTTTTCCAAAGTTTCAAATCGCTTGTCTAAAAGAGAACACTTGAAAATATTCAATAGCCAATTTCTTTCTACTATGGGTGGTCCAGCATGCTCTGTTTTGCACTAATAACAAAAATGTTGCATTCTTCCAATAAAATATATTGGATACGGTCCTAAAAAGTCAAGTCACCAATTTCAACGAAACTATCTTTGCTTGGTAATATATATAGAGTAGGGTTTGTGAAATTCTATACTATATCTCAGATAACGCAGTTAATTGTATATGCTAAAGCGGTTGGATTGTCCACGCGATACTTAGAAATACCAGTCAGAACGCCAGGAAGATCGGACAAACAACTCACGATTATGTATTCTTCAAACTTGCAATTCGTGTGATTATACGCATTAAATACAACGTACTATAAATACAGACTATGCGTTCCTCAAATAGGTTATTAAGGGTTTATTTAAGAAGAAACAGTCACCAAAATTGCATACGTCATTCAGGGGTATCCTGTAAGTCTTGAAGATATTAATGTCTGTTATAATTCCGCTTGCTGGTTAAATTTCTAATTGACCTAACATGTACACCATGAAGAACTCAAGCTTTATTTAATGCAAAGAAAATCCAGGGAATATCGTCTTTACAACAAGTCTATTTTTAACTATGACTAAAATTAAATGACTTGACAGAATTTGTTAATGCACACGATGGTCAGATTTCACTGTAATGCGATGATCTAGTCTAGTTGGGACGCTTAATTATTGAGTTCTTACAATATCAAGTAGGTCAACTGGGGGGGGGTGATAAGACTAAATGTAAAAGCTGTCAGGATGTGGTGTTAGGAAAGATAGACAACGAAAAAGATAATAAAAATCAGTTCTAAGGATAGTACACTTCTTGTCTAATGAAATAGATCATTCTTTCACTACTGGGTGATCCAAGTCCAAGATCCTTTTTGTCTCATGCATCCTCGTTAGAATATTTTAACCGCCCAACACAAATGAGACAAAAGCAGTCAGTAAATTTATAGGCTGATCTATTCTTCATTTAATCATTTCTGGTCTTTTCTAAACTAATTCTACACTTGTCAGCGTAGCACATTAAATGTAGGCTATAGAATCAGATACATGTGGCACATCCCAACCATTCATAGTTTCATGAAAACAATTTGTCATTTTATATTCACGATATTGTATTAAACCTTGGAATTCTTTACTTAGTTGATCGCACTATACACACAAACATTTGCTTCAAAAGCTCATTGAAGGTATATCAAGCTTCATACAATCCATACATAAATACAGCTGTATATATATAAATGTTTTATTTATTTATTAAAAATGTATAAAAGAGAGCACGTTGGCTAAAAAAAGGATACAATTTATGACTTAACTTTTCAAGTTATTAATACAGGAAGTCAGGTAAGAGAGATTTCCCAATGTGAAAAATGCTATGAAACATATTTAGAATGTAATCTAAAACAGTTTGATAGCATGTAACGAAAAGAATAAGGATAGTTAGGTTTGCTTGAGTGGGTATCAAATGAAAAGGTGAATATATGTGACGACTTTGCCAAAATAGTTATTTCTCATCTTTATATGTAAGTGATATCAGAACATACATAAACTTAAGGATAATAATCATTGATCAGTCAATTAATCGATCCGTTATCATTGGTTACTACTGATGAATTTGTATTGTTTTTTTGATTTGCTGTTTGATGTTCTTTGTTACTGTTAGTATGTTGTTTACCAATATGACCACTTTTCTGTTGTGGTTTTGTTTGAGATGTACGTTTGGCTGCAGCGATTGCTGCACGTTGTGCTTCACGAGCTAGATGATGATAAGATTGTGAGATTAAAGAAACAAAAACAACATTATCTTAAATACTCGTATGGTATGAAATAGAACGAGTTTTACAAGGAAGAATATATTGCATGTATAAATGTTTAGTATTATATATATATATATATATATATATATATATATATATATATATATATATATATATATATATATATATATATAGGGATCTACGGAGTTGTTATTTTTGTGAGGGTTACAAAATAGGAATCTTAGATTGAAAGTCAGTTCATTGTCACCAACTGAGGATGTCAGAACAAGCGTTATGCGTTCCCTAACCGCATTTTACCCTGGCGTGCAATATCGACTAGTGTAGGGGCGAGTCGGGAAAAAGCTAAGGGCGGTCAAACCAAAAACGTGACATTACTCCATGAGTCCATTGACTATTGAACTAAGTTGTATTGGTAGGTGAAAACTATCTGGTCGATATTTGCCTAATCAATGGTCGGAGACTTGCATGACATATCTAGCCCTGGTACGGTCGAGGGTAAGGAGAGTCCCTTTTCACTCTCGAAATGCTCTCACATGGCCACACGCATACAGCTACTGCCAGGGAAGTCTTATTCACTGCCTTCTCCCGGCGGGATGTTGTTTACGAAATTGAGAGTATAAAAAGCGAATGTCCGGCGCTTTAACCATAATTTCAACGTCTTATTTTTATTATCATAACTACTATGTTTATTTAAACTTGTTTATCATTCATGTGGTAACTTGATTCAACGTAATATTTTTACCAGGGGCATTGATTATGAAATGAGATTCGGATTTGTTTATAATTTTTCAACATTACTACTTGAATATTTTGTATGGTTTACATTGTATTAGTCTTTTTTCACCACATTCTATTTGGTTTACCAATCGTTATTACGAAAATAGTAGTTGCCCTAATGGGTTGGTCTCTGCACGGATTAGAAAAGCTCATTTAACTTTTGCCAACTTACGTCACCTACGGCGAAGGCGAGATATCCGTCTATCAACTAATGGACGAATATACTGCGCGACAGTTCGTTCTGTTCAACTTTACGGCCGCGTAACGTAGCCATTAAGAGTAGAAGATACTCGTAAGCTACTAATATTTGACCACAGATGTCTTAGAATTATTTCTCGCATCTTCTGGGATTACCATGTAAGTAATAGTGAGGTTAGACGCAGAGTATTTGGGAATGATGGTAAATCAGTTGGTGAGGTTGTGAATCTTCATCGACTGAGATGGTTGGACCACGTATTGCGTATGCCTGAACAACGATTACCACGACGCGCAATGCTCACTAGTGTTGGGGATGGTTGGAGGAAAGTTAGAGGCGGCCAAACCAAAACGTGGCATCAGCTATTGAAGTCACTAACTTCCAGTCTGAGTCTTGTTGGTAGATGCAGACTACTTGGTTGGGGTCGGCGTGACTGTCGTAACCAATGGTTGGAGACTGTGGGTGTGACAGGGCTCAGAATCGATCACAATGTGTAGGTGTATACACTCTTTTTCTTCCCTTAAGCCAAGAGATTAAAATCACTTTAAATCTTTATTTCTACGAACTAATTCTTTCTTCCTGTAGTATCTCCCTATGTGCAATCTTTCTTCTATATATTACCATCACTGAATTGATTAGTCCCATGAATCCGGTGTTCATATTGTTGTGCTAATGAGTTGTGGTAACTTGGACCGATGCACATATGTGCCTGATGCTACGTTGTAGCTGCCCCAAATTACCTGGTACGGCCGAGAGTCGTTCTCCCTCTGGAAATGCTCTTACATGGCTACGTGCACACAACCGCTTCCAGGGAAGTCCTACACACTGCGTTCTCGCAGCAATACTGTTGTTTACGAAATTGAGAGGACGAAAAGTGAATGTCCCGCGCTTTAACCGTGTTGGTGGACACGAATAGCCCTGATTACAAACGAATGATGCACATGGGCTCCAGTGTCCTGAATGAACAAATGGCGTATGAACCAATCGTTGGTCACCTGCTACCATGGAACTGCATCTCCTTACGATGCTCCACTACCTTGTGGATCAGACTTTTAGGTCAAAGACTCGGGGTGTTGCCCCCCAAGAAAACCACTTGCTTCGGTTTGGGCACCCGGGAAGTATCACAGCCCTCACACAAATCAAATGAAGTTTATGTGGAGCATATGTATTTGGTGCCTTCTTGTACCAAGATATATGTGTTCAAATAAATAAATAAATACGTTGTAGCTAACTGACTGATACATGCTTTTACTACTAACAGTATCACGACAACTGCGAACTATTTCTGAACTTTAATACAATTCAATAAACAATTAATCTTTTTTACCATATAAAAACTATTCAATGATTTAGGTGAATACCGAAACTATGAGGTTTCATTTTTGTCTACTCTTTCTCTATATATATAACTTACATTTTCAAAACTATAATCACAATTGTATACTGTTTGAATAATATGTAAAAGTACAAATTATAGTTTACCTTGTTTTTCTTGTTCAAGTTTTTGAGCTGCTAATTCACGTTCTTTCCTAACTAATTGAAGACGTGCTATATTAGCTGCTAATTCGGTTTCTGATAATAATTTTATTGGATCAGTTGTAGCTTTGATAGATGCGGCAATCTCTTTTCGTGAAGGACTGAAATACAAAAGATATTATTTTTTCTTTAAGAAAAAAACTTAGTTTAATAGCTAATTTCCATGCAGTTTACAAATAATATTGATGAAATGCAACATATACGTAATCGGTGGAATTAGTTTTATTACCGTCTATTAGAACAACGCATTTACTCAGTACAGCTCTAAGACATATTGGTTTTGAGAGCTAATGATACGAATCGGCTGTCCAAAGTGAACTAGAAGGAGCAACGTTTAATCAGTCAGTCACAAGCAACATAGAACCTGGAACATATGTAAACCAGTTCAATTTGTCATAATACAACATTATAGAGACATGAAATTATCCAGAAGTAGTGTTATCAGTTTTAGTGAACAGAACAGCCACACAGATGATGATGGGAAATAAAGCGGTATGATAAAAGTATAACAATTTTACAACTCAAGATCTAAAGGAAGACAAAGAGTAGATGCTTCTGTGGCGTTGTGACTAATTCCTAACCACGCCATCCAACGTCCCAAACGATTGGTTTCGATGTTTGAGCATATTCTAACCAGGTTGTTTGAACCTACTAATATAACTTAGACCAACAGTCAATTATTTCATAGACATATGTTGTGTATGGTTTTGGGTGTTTCTATTAACTTTTTTCCAGCCTACCTCTACACCAACCAATATTGGGCGTCCATGTATAAGGTGGTTCGGCATACGTAATACATATCTGGAAAGATTTGGATCGCCTGTCATCCTGAAACACGACGATGAATTTAAAGTAGGAATATAACTAGGGTAACTTATAAAATTAAGCCAATAAGTCAGAGTAACTTGTTGTGTACTGATGTGTATAACGGGGGTAGTATCATTCGGAAAAATTTTCTATGGAAGTTGGGTAATATATACAAGGTTCAATCTTTTTCACTACATACAGTTAGTTATCAACTAGTAACTACTATTTCTTATTCAGTATTATTATTTAAACACATAAACATTGGCACAAGTAGGCACCAAATACATATGCTCAACACAAACATCATTAAATTTATGTGAGGGCTGTGATACTTTCCGGGTGCCCAAACCGAAGCAAGTGGTTTTCTTGGGGGGCAACACCCCGAGTCTTTGACCTAAAGGTCTGATCCACAAGGTAGTGGAGCATCGCAAGGAGATGCAGTTCCATGGTAGCAGGTGACCAACGATTGGTTCATACGCCATTTGTTCCTTCAGGATACTGGAGCCCATGTGCATCATTCGTTTGTAATCAGGGTTTTCCGACTCCTCGAAGTGGACTCTCTGTGTCCGCCAACCCGGTTAAAGCACCAGACATTCGCTTTTTGACCTTTCAATTTCGTAAACACCCAGACTGAGAGAAGTCAGTGAGTAGGACTTCCCTGGAAGTGGTTGTGTGCACGTAGCCATGTAAGGGCATTTCCAGAGGGAGAGCGGACTCTCGCCACTCTCAGCCGTACCGGGGCATTTGGGGGACTGTTCGGTATTAAATGAATAGCACATACTATTACATTAGAACCAATATCTCCTAATTCTTTAGAAACGAGGCTCAAAAAATATCAATCGAAATCACCATTACACTATTATCAAAACATGAATTGATTAGAATGACTTACACAACTGTTTTAGAAGATTTTACACGATTAGGATTGCAAACTTCAATTAAATGACTAACACCCTTATGACGTTCGGTTGTGTCTTGCTCATCGTCATCATCTTCTTCCTCCTCCTCCTCCTCATCATCATCATCATCATCATCATCCGTTTCAGTTTCATTAATATTCTTGTCATGGATTTTTTTATTCAGAGATGATTCAGCTTCTTTAGACAACTAAAGAAGTAAGTGGATCAATATGATAATAAGCATTCTATGATGTGCCATAGATACAAATTTTATGATATCTCTAAGCAGAAGTTGGAAACAACCAGTTCGAAAAAAACGGACTTTTACAGTTCAGACCACAGATTAACTGTATGTAGATTGGAAGTGCCGAATAGTTACTTTTCTTTAGTATGAGACTTCTCTATAGTGTGAATGACGAGACTAATTCATGGAACGAACCTTGTGCCTTGATGCTTAGCGGAGAGCGCTAAATCTTCCAACCGCTGAGTTAAGACCATATATTTTACATCTCTAACTTCATTCACCTAATGAAATTAAGCGAGAATCGTCTACTGCCCTATTCCAAACACGGTTGAACTCTACTGACCATGGATTTCCGCTATAACCTCAGGGACTGTCTCTCGTATTTAGTTACTGTTATTTTATGGCATCGACAGACTGATACTGACATATACGATTCTTATACGAAAACCCAACGGACTATTTGAGTGCGAAAACCAAAAAATGAGTAGGGAGCTTATATTTGTTAAATTGAATCGAAAACACGTGTATAATTAATTTATGTCTCTTCTCATCAGAAGACAACGCTGCATTTCCAATAAATATCGCGTCCCTTTTCTTAGAAAATGAAATCAGAGGTTGACCGATAGCATGAGCCTGTCAGCAGCCCACTCAGCATTTGACCTACATATATAAATGGCCCAGTTTTAGTCACTGATGAGCGTATGATTATTATTAGTGTAGGTGGTCTGTGGAGATTTTTGGATTTACGGTTTATACTAGACTAATCCAGAATGTAAGTGACAACACAAGATTAATTATATTTGCATTCCGCTCTAACCATGTACTTGGTTCACACAGAACAAATATTATAATCAATATCGTGGTGTATAAACTTTGCTCGCCATATAATGTATGAAAAGCCAGTGTCGAAAAAGACTCAAAACCCAGATTTATGGTCAAATCTATTTTAAAAACAGAAATTTAGAGACAAAACTTGATGACCAACTTCCAAAATTTTGTATAACTTACACCAAGTTGACGATCGATTTCTTCCGGGGCAGTAAACTTTCGGGTTCTACCTTTGTGCATACGTTTGCCTATTTTATAAAAATAGAAAACAAGACAATCGTATAACTGAAGTTAATTATGAAATTAAGACCATATCATTATTAATGCTTTTAGACTCAGTCACTAGCTAATTAGTCTACAAAACCTGAAAAAGTGTAAATTTTGAAAATTACAGAATGTAAGACAGTTTTAAACTTTCCCAATAATCTTTGGAAGGTAAAAGCATCAAACAACTTGCGACAAACTGTATTGATTTAGCTTGATGAGTGTAATTATTATTTATTATTTGAACACATAGATATTGGCACAAGGAAGCACTAATTACATATGCGCTACATAAATCTCATTTGATTTGTGTGAGGGCTGTGATACTTTCCGGGTGCCCAAGCCGAAGCAAGTGGTTTTCTTAAGGGGTCACACCCAGAGCCTTTCTTAATTGCAGTAATTTGTATAGTTGAGTACTTTACCATGTAATTAGATGTGTCACTTTTACATTTATTTTAAAGTAATCCCAAATAATGTCTGGATTCACGCAAATTCGATTTGTAAATGAATGGGATAGGCAAGAGTATGAAGTATTCGAGTACGAGAGCATGCAGATTGTTAAGATTACTATACACAGGATGACGAAGGTAGTAGATATTATCAAAAGATAGCTATGAAGTTGTCGTAATGATGACAGCAGCAACACTAGTAAAACATATGAAGAGGATATAATACGGAGAACTAAACCGATAGGCTTATCTACATAATTTTCATCTAGAAATCAGACGTTTTATCAAATGATAAGGCAACTATGATGACAATAAATTAGAACCAAAAACGTTGAATGACTTGAATAGCTGAAAATTGCCAAGTGGTGGCACGGGAGAAGATTACACAAAAGTGTGGCCCCCTAACAAGACCATTTGCTTCAGTTTGAACGCCCAAGAACTGTCCGAGCTCTCACATAAACTATTTGAATTGTATGGCGCATATGTATTTGGTGCTTCCTTGTACCAATGTTTGTCGTTAAACAGCTAATAAGTGGATATTCAGCGTTAAACACTTTTCGATTATTACAGCTTTAATTGGCAATAAAAAATTGTGTCAAATTACCCCTCATTTTTGCTAAAACAGAATGGGATGTTAGATGAAGACAGAAAACCCTTAGAATTGATAGGGAAATTCTATCAAACACGAATACGATGGACCGAAGATGACCTCGAGATTTTAAATTCTTTGGCCATTTTAGTTATCACGCTACCTTTCGGTACTCAATATCTTATCGTCAACCTGCAACAAGTAAACAGAACTGATTGTCCTCACTTAGTTTCTCCTCGACTTTAGTATTCAAGCCTCATTATTCGTTAAGAAATTAGTTAAATCCGTTCAACAAACCACTTGTTTTTATAACACAATATCGTTATGTCAAATCAAAATGCCAATAAAAAATGAAAAGATTGTCTCATGAAAATGGTTTTGAACGAAATAGAAGGAGCTTTTGCTCAATGAGCTTCCACATCTAGTAGCAGTAGATCACCGACACTACCAGTCATGAATCTAGGTATATTATCGGTAAAAGGGAAAGAGATTTTTAAAAATTGGTAAATCATAGTAATATACTATCCCTATTCCTAGAAAATACGTCAATTTTTGTAGCAAAAGACTCATAGGAAGTCCTTTGGACTAGCTAGGCCGGCTGTGAATTTCAGAATTTGACAACTCTTAAGGAATAGAAGTTGTGTCTGTAGTCCTTTCTGCTGTATTATATCTCCAGTTTCTGGTTTTTACCCCTAAGGTTTGTGTTAGGAATAATCTTGAGTAGTTAGTTAAGGGGGTGTTGAGAAGTATTCAGGACTCTGTAAGCCATAAGATCGTCTTTTCTAAGGCTCCTGTACCCCAATATGTAAAGGTTTAGTGATTATAAGCGCTCATTATAAGGCTTCTTGAAAATCTGTCTATCTTGCGTAACAAACGATCGTTCCAGATGAAATTAAATCTCATAGCCCAAACATACTAAAGAGAACAACAGTTTTTTAAGGCTATGCTCACAATACAACTCCAAGGATTAAAGTGAGTTCATATAGAGAACGGGAAGGGGTAAAGTGTGACTGAGGACAATAACTCTGAATTAAGCAACAAGAATTAGGGCAGGAGCGAGAAACCAACATATTACTTATTAAACAATCAACTAACATATTTTAAAGAGGACTCTGAAATCTACAGTATAGTTAACTCATCAGCTTTTTGCTTAAATAAACCAGGAAGAATTTATTTTACATTACCTAAAATAAAATTAACAGCGTGAATATTAGAACGTTCAGGCAGTTCAGAACACCAGCAACAAAAATATTGCAAACTGGCTGATGACCTAATCGAAGACATGTCACTTTATAAGATATGTTTGGACAATATCGTAGTTGATTGTGAATAAAAAGAGGACATGTACTGTTTACTGAAGAAATTAAACACTCCAAAACCATCTCGATCTCATGTGAAGAGAAAAGCGACCACATCCCCTTCTTGGATATACTTCTGAGTAGACAAAAAGATGGCTCAGTCAACCCATCCATTTTTAGAAAACCAATGTGGACAGGTCAACACCTTAGTTATTAGAGATATTGCCCTGTGCAATACAAACGTGGTGTGATAAGGTGCCTTCTCAACAGGCTTGATCGTATTTGTACAAATGACGCCAGATAAACGGTCAGTGCACAATGTTACTGAAGGAAGGTTTATTGTACCGTAAACTATGTTTTTATGAACAACCGACTGTTGTCTTCATTCTGAAAGCAATACATATATCCTTTTTCTTCTGTTAGGTAAGTTCCATTGGCCTATATTTCGTGTTTTGGTTTTATCGGCTGAATTATGTCCATTTAACTGCTTTGAGCAACATGTCTGTGCAAATGAAACAATAATTATGACACTTGCTTAGTTTAGTATTCTTGGTTGTCGTATAATTCACTTTAGTCGAAATAATTATGGTATACTTAAGTATATTGCTTTCAGCCTGTAACGAAACAGATCAGTTTAGTATGTAGAGATGCCTGTTTCTAATAAGTATACTGATTTAAATCAGTCTGATTAAAAATAGGAAAAAATGATTTTGGTACTGTTGCTGTCATACATTATTTGATAGCTTTAAGTATATTTGGTGTTTATTTCTAGACAGTACGTCTAACACTGTCCATGTTTCAAGACTACTGTCATTAAACTATTTCCCCAGCAATAACACCGGTAGCAGGATAGCTAAGTGTTTTAGCTTTTACTTGCTTGCAAAACAGCAGTATACAGTCTTAGATGTAGAATGTTCTGTCTTAATTAAATGCTGCTGGCTGTGAACAAGTGTTAAGAGTCTTTTTGACAACTGGAACTTTTAGTTTACTAGATACTAAATGAACTTGTATATCTTCCTTTAAAACCGTACGCAGATGCATGGGAATACTTAAGTGGGAGCAAAATAATAAAAGCTGTGAGATGCTGTACCTTGAAAAGTTATATTAGCTGGCGTGATCTGATATTTATGAAGTCGAGGTAAATCACAGCTGCATAACTTCTTTCCTTAGAAACGTGTAGTTCGTTTATTTACCTTTCAAAGATACTTGAAAAAGCCCTATACTATCTTTTATTTAGAATATAACAGTTATGAGCCGTCACAGATCTTACAAAGTCATTCAGCTTTATAACAATTGCCCTATGGAACTCTATGGGAGACCCAAATAACAGCAGATTATTAAAAGCATATCGGATGTCCACTTTAGTCTCACAACCACTTCCAGTGTTTTGGAGTTACTTCTTATACCCTGTCGTTTGAAAAGGAACAACTACTGCAGCTTCACTTTACCAATGCTACCGTGTAATTTGGGACCTGGTGTAAATATTTGTTTCATATTCCATTGTTAATTAAAGTTCGTGAATAAGTCTATAGACTTGATGCCGTTTCGTTTTATATAATTAATCGTTGTAAGAGACAGGTGAAACGCGAGCATCTCAGCACCCAGTTGATATCTAGTAATTTCAAGTTAAGACAGTTGACACAGTTACACATCACAACAGTCCCTGCCTGTAATCTTAGTTTCTGATTGAAATACCATATGATAAGCAAACAACGAGAAACCCCTAAGTCCGGGCCTTCTTATAACCTGTTTCAGCCGCCATGATGTGTTGCAGTAGTACGTAGATGGGTACGCGTTTAATCCATAGTTGTTTGTTGGGATGCCGTCGGAATTCCAATCAATACCTTAGCTGCACTGACGGGTCACTAGTACCGTGAAGGCACGCGCTCGTCAAAACACGAGTTAGTAGAACGTTTTCAACGACAACTAAAAGCGTCACTATCAGCCTCAAACATTTCTCAGTGGATTGACTCTCTCCCACTCGTCTTACTAGGCATACGCGATGCAGTGAAAGCTGACATTGGATACACTGCGTCTTAACTTGTTTATGGTACGACCCTTAGACTTCCAGGAGAATTCGTGGATCGTTCATCCTCTTCGATGGACATGGATCTAACCTCCTACGTGAACAGTCTTACGAACGCATTGCGTTCAGTTAAACCTGTTTCCACTCGACCACAATCAACTGATGTTTTTGTTCAATCTGACTTACGACATAGTACACACGTCTTCGTACGTCGAGACTCGCATCGACGACCTCTCGAATCAACATATGAAGGACTTTTCAAAGTTCTTCAACGCGAATCTAAATACTATATAATCGATAAGAACGGAACCAACGAAAGCACCAGCACCGATCGCCTCAAAGCAGCGTATTTAGAAGGAAATCCTGTTCACGTCGATTTTCCTTCAATACAATCGCACGACACAACTCCTGCTCTTATAATACCCCAATGGACAGCCGACACACACATTGAGACTTCGGCGGTATCCGAAAATAAACTCAAAACAACGCATTCTGAAAGAAGAGTAAGATTTTCAGAACATTTGAACGAGTACTGCACTTAAGACACAAGTTTACACTTTATATCCTCTCGATTTTCCCTTTTACTATATATAATTTCTTTTTTAAATAAACCCGAATTTAAAATGCTTATATGTTTTTATTATTTTTTATTTCAAAAAAGAAAAAACAAAAAACGATATTATAAAAATTCTTTTTTTACGCTACTGCGTGAACATGAGTTTATTTTCCTTTTTTCGCCCGTTTCGTGTTTTCACGCGCGTACGAGTGTATTCCGACATGCACTTATATATATATATATTTTTTTTTTCCAGGACGGCTGGAAAAGGCGATAAAAAGAACAATGAATTTGCGAGAAACGAAAATCTTCATTGTACCTTTTTTTTACTATATTGTACATCATGGTCCATTATAGTAAGGAAAGACGACCAGACGCTGCTAAACCTAGCAAGCTACCAGAAGAGTGTTTACCAACGAAAAACTCGTTGAGTTTAAACTTCTGGCTGGCCACGTCTTAGGGTCATCACTACCCCACTAGGAGGGAGTGATCTGTAGCGGTAAATAATTCCCCAAAATTAAATAGCTCTGTAAGTTTTCGACATTGGATGCTGACCACAGTTTTAGTGGACTCATCTAGCTGAAAGCGCTCGGTCAAGCATCCGCACCTGATCACGTGTGGGAACGCCGTGTTCAACATCTGCCGCAATCGCTAGCCAGATTACTGCAAACGATCCTCGATATATTGATAGCTTACCAAATATATCCTCGATCTCTCTGCTTCTGTCTTTTGATTTTACTTGTTGGATGCGCTTTGTATTAGAAGGTGTTACTGCTTAAAGCGTTGTCAAACTCCGAATACTCGGCATCTTCAACGTAACAGGAATGAGCCGTCACAGATCTTACAAAGTCATTCAGCTTTATAACAATTGCCCTATGGAACTCTATGGGAGACCCAAATAACAGCAGATTATTAAAAGCATATCGGATGTCCACTTTAGTCTCACAACCACTTCCAGTGTTTTGGAGTTACTTCTTATACCCTGTCGTTTGAAAAGGAACAACTACTGCAGCTTCACTTTACCAATGCTACCGTGTAATTTGGGACCTGGTGTAAATATTTGTTTCATATTCCATTGTTAATTAAAGTTCGTGAATAAGTCTATAGACTTGATGCCATTTCGTTTTATATAATTAATCGTTGTAAGAGACAGGTGAAACGCGAGCATCTCAGCACCCAGTTGATATCTAGTAATTTCAAGTTAAGACAGTTGACACAGTTACACATCACAACAGTCCCTGCCTGTAATCTTAGTTTCTG